GAAGGACAGATCCTGAAGCTGAGGCTCCAATACTTTGGCCATCTCATGAGAAGAGAAGATTCCCTGGAAAAGACTCTGATGTTGGGAAAGTGTGAAGGCAAGAGGAGAAGGGAACGACAGAGGAAGAGATGGCTGGACAGTGTCTGCGAAGCTACCAACATGAATTTGACCCAACTCCGGGAGGCAGTGGAAGACAGGAGGGCCTGGCGTGCTCTGGTCCATGGGGTCCCGAAGAGTCAGACATGACTTAACGACTAAACAACAACAGCATTTAAACACCCTCTCTTCAGATAAAGGGAGGAGAGAAGTCAAATAAACAAATATTTCATAGACTTAAATGCCACCTCCTATTCCAAGAATTAGCCACCTAGCGTGCTAATTTTGGCTGAAGAAGTGTAAGTTATCCAAAGTTTCCTGAAGAAGCTGCGCGTGAATCCAAGTTAGCTGGTTCGAGACCTACTTGCAATCAGGGATGGGGACTCAGTGCCAAGTCGGACTCAAGTTGCGCTGGCAACTCAACTTGGACTTGCCTTTTTTTTTTAAATGACTCACTTGTATATCACCGAAACCGTGCTAGAAAAACAAGTGCAATTCAAGGTAGAACTGTATTATAGTACCACAACATCAACTACAACGACCCGAGATCAGAATGGGAATCTAAAAGAGGCATACGTACGTGACGACGACACAAATTATTCAGGCCAGCAAACGTAATTGGCCTCCCAAAATGGTCAGATTAAGCCAAGAATAATTTATGTGGTGATGGCATGACGCAGAGCATCTGTGTAACCACAGATTACTAAACCAAAAGCACATAAGCAAACAGGGGGTCAGAATTTATTTAGGCTGATGCAGCACTTCTGCAACAATCCATACTGCTGCTCTGCTGTTCCTCCAAGGTAGTACCCATAAAGCAAGATGTGGAGCTTGCAGGCTGGCCAGCGCTGGGAGGGTTCCACCAGTTCCTGACGGTGCTGGGGTTGGAGCAGCCTTGCCCACTTGCAAAACATGGGCAAAAACGAGCCACAAAAACAAGCCACTGAGGTTGCAAACGAAAACAACATCGTATTCGCGAAGGCTTTCACGGCCGGGATCTAATGGTTGTTGTGGGTTTTTCGGGCTCTTTGGCCAGATTCTGAAGGTTGTTCTTCCTAACGTTTCACCAGTCTCTGTGGCCGGCATCTTCAGAGGACAGCACTCTGTGGCCGGCCACAGAGACTGGCGAAACATTAGGAAGAACCACCTTCAGAACCTGGCCAAAGAGCCCGAAAAACCCATAACAACCAGAAAACGACATCATCCGCTGGCCAGGACCAAGGTGAGCAGGAACCCTCCCCGCTGGTGGGTGCAGTGACCCCGTTCTTCCCTGAGGCTCAGCTCCACTGGGTCCATTTTTTAAGCAGCTCAAGCTTCAACCTGGCACAGGTTGCCTCCCAGCACTGCCTAGACAAGATAGAAGCCTTGGTGCGGTATAAAAATGGCACCAATGCACACCTGTAAAAACTGCACCGATGCTTGTGTCACGGGAAGCTGAAACTTAATCCGGACAAGACAGAGGGGCTCCTGGTTAGTCAAAAGGCAGATCATGGGACAGCGATGCAGCCTGTACTGGATGGGGTGACCCTCCCATTGAAAATTCAGGTGTGCAGCCCAGGGGAACTCCTGGGTTTGTCTCCAAGTCTGGAGGTCTCGGTTGTCGCCAGCAGAGCACTTGCACATTTAAAACTAGGGCGCTAGCTGCGCCCCGTCCTGCAGGACTTTGCTACAGTCAGACATGCCACAGTTATATCCTGGCTGGATGACTATAACACACTCTGTGTGGGGCTGCCTATGGAAAGGGTCAGGAAACTACACCGGGTCCAAACCACAGTAACTGGGGCTGATCATGGGGATCACACAACCCCCGTTACAGCAGCTCCACTGGATCACTGATCAGTTTTTGTCAGAGTTCAAAGGGATGGTTCTAAACGATGAAGCTCTAAATGGCTTTGTCCCAGGCTATCTCAAGGACCGCCTCTCCCTTCATTGTGGTCCCAACACCTTCACAGGTGCATCTGGTGGGGACACTCTGTTGCCCCTCCCAGACTCTGGAACTCCCTCCCACAGGAGGCCAGCCTGGCCCCATCTTTGTGGTCCTTCTGCAAACACGCGAAGACTTTTCTCTTCAGGCAAGCTTCCCGTGAGTGACTAGCTGCTAACTGGGGTTTTTTTTAATGAATTGCTGTACCTTACTGCACTGCATGTGTTCTGGTGTTACTTATATTTTAAGGTTTTTTTTAATTCATTAATCCTTCTAGTATTGCATACTCATTGTTACTAACTTAAATACTGTCTTTTAATTTAACTGGGGTTTTTAAAATGAATTGCTGTGCCTTACTGCACTGCATGTTTTCTGGTGTTACTTATATTTTGAGGGTTTTTTTATTCATTAATCCTTCTAGTATTGCATACTCATTGTTACTAACTTAAATACTGTCTTTTAATTGTACACACCTTCGGGTCCTTTTTAAGGAAACAGGTGGGTTAAACGGACTTTAGATAGATAGATAGATAGATAGATAGATAGATAGATAGATAGATAGATAGATAGATAGATAGATAGATAGAGTTGCTGCAAACTAATTTTGGTCCTTTCTGAAAGTGTAGCTGCAGCCACTATCTAGGGAAAAACAGTGACGATTCCTTTAAGTCCTACTTTTTCAGATCACAGTAGCTGCCTGTGTACTCTACCTGACCTATTTCACAAGAATTCTCTTAATTTTATTCAAAAAGCACGGCTTCTTCATCCACAAAGCTACACAAGTAAATATTGCAAGTATCAGCCCACTTTTAACTCATCCCCCCCCCATATTAGGCAACACACTGAAAGAAGGATGATCAGAACAGCGAAAGATTGAATTGCTGTGCTCTGAAAGAGGCTCTGATTTTCAGGGCTATTTTCATTTTTCACAAGGCCAGCCTTTCCGTACCTCTTCACAGCAGAGACATACCACCATCAAGTCCAGCTCACAGATAATATCCAAAAACAACCCTAGGTATCTCTGGGAGCTCGAGAAGTCCATTAGAAGAAAACAGAGAAGGAGGTGGCGAAACAAAAGTTCAGCCAATGAAATGTGCAGTACACAGAGAAATGAGAATTAACTACACCAATATGAGCACATACAACAGACCTGGGCAAAGTGCGGCCCAAGGGCCACATACAGCCCACGAGCCACTCCTATCCAGGCCGCCGGTCGTCGCTCCAGTTCAAGCACTTGTTCAAGCCGAAGTCAGACTGGATTTCTCTCATTGAACAAATTGAACATCAAAACCATTTATAGCTTTTTTGTCTAAAGTTGATCAGTTGCTTATCTTTAACATACCGCAAAAAACCTCTTTAGTATCTGTGAAGATTATCAAGTTTAAATTAAAAACAATCATAACATCACTGTTTCATTTTATTTTTAAGTAAAGTTGGTTCGGCCCCCGTACACAGTTCAGATTTTTCATGTGGCCACCCTGTAGAAATTAATTGCTCACCCTTGACATACTACAACAAAAAGCCTGGATTGAAAATGTACTGCATTACATCAAAGACCAAGTTTTATATCCGTCAATAAATCCACATTGTGGAGTCTAAATTCATGACCCTGTTTTTTAGAAATGTGGAATTCTCCTTGCTCAATGCAGCCGTTTAAGAATGAGGACATTTCCTTAAGCAGAGAGGAAGATGTACGCACCTAATCTTAGAGACACATGCCCGTCAGGTGCACATCTTCCACACTGCCTTTTAGTGTACAAATTCCGTATTGCAGAGTAGAATGTGTTAGCCTCTAGATTGAGGAGAACTAGACAAAAAGACAGATCAAACATGGCAAAATAATGTAAAAAAAAGTATAAAAAGATGTATAAAATGGCAAAATAATGTAACAAAAAAAGGATAGCTCTGCAAGCTGTTATGACCCAAATGCTTTCAAAAAGCAATAAAGTAAATAAATACCTGACACATCAGGCCGTGACAAATTGCATAGCTGTCTTGATCTGTTTAAGAACCAACTTTCTCAACTGGGAGATCACTTTCAGCACTTCTATTTGGATATTATTCTAAGTATCCATGTACCGCCCCCTCCCAAGGGCTCAAGTACGGGGGGGGGGGGGAAATCTACCCCTTTCTTACTAGGAGGAGAGAAAAGGAAGAGTAGGAGGAGCTGTACTCCTGTCATTCACAAGTTCCTTTACATAAATTGAGATCAACTCAATTGCTTTCTTCTTACCCTTTGCTTGCAACTCAATTGCAATCTTCTTACCCTTTCCTTGCAACAAACATAAACAATGATCAAATTAGTTCAGGAACAAAAACACAAGGCAGAAACTGTTGTTTCCAAAAGGGCAACAGATCAACACCCTGCAATGCAATTCACCTGAGGACAGGACACAATTTTGCAGCTTGCTTCTCCTCTCCAAGGGGCAGATGCAAAGAGTTAAGACACAGAAAATGAGCAGTAAATCAAGAACACCATGGTGGGCTCCTTTACCGGCTTTTTTTAAATAAGAGTTCTCTCCAGGGAGGACTCTTGAGGGGGCTGGGGAGTGAAGAGAGCCCACCTCACTGCAAAAAAATAAATCAAAGGGGCAAAGTTGGGGGTGCCCGAGCAAGAAGGCAGGCAAGACAAGCGGAAAGGGGGAAAGCCGAGGTCGGAGATGCTTCCCCGAGGAAGGAGGAAAGGAAAGCAAAAAAGAAAGAGAGCTGAAATCTGCCCATCATGGGAAGCGCGGAAAAAAGTAATTTCAAGGGATCTGGAAGGGAAGGAAGGATCTGATGGGGAAGGGGTTTTAGAAGAAGGTTAATTCAGAAGAAGGTGCAAGGGAAAGTGAGGGTCAGAAGAGGAAGGATAAAAGGCAGGCAAGAGGATGCAAAAGGGAAGCCGCGACTCCCGACCGGGAAGGCAGCAGGAGGGAAGTTGGAGAGGAGAAACTCTCGGCGACCCAACTTGGTCCCCGGAACAAACCAGAGGACGCACCTGGGGCGCCGCCGAGCAGGGACCCCCGTCGCACCGCCCGTCCGTCCG